TTCTCGAGATGGGCAGGAAGGTGAGGTGTGTCCCCTTAGAAGTTACGGCAGCTCTGGCCTCAAACCACTTCTCAAGTGACCGGAAAGGAAAAGATCCTCCCAGGACTTGGGAACCTGGAGGGGCCTGGTCTGCTGGCCACCTCTTCTGCTCTCCCCATGGGCTTCAGTCCATGTCTGACTGTGCCCTTTGGTTGAAGTGTCTCAAGACCATTTTAGTCTATTGTACTTGGGGATCACACACCACCCTGGAATAACAGTCATTTAAACAGTTACTTTTTTCATTCTTCAACCTTTGACCCAAACAGATACACATGTCTCACACACATTCATCTTTTAAACAGAAATTTACAAACAAAGGTTATGTTTCAGTGAATTATTTTCAGCTTTCACTTTAGAGAGAGCCTGTTCCAAGTCGAAAATGACTTCTGAGACCCTGTCTTCTGAACACAGACTGAAAAACTCCATTAACTGGCAGATAACCACAGCTTTCCATGGCCTCTGCTTCTTTTCAGACCGTGATTTGTGAAAGCAAAGATGAGCGCTGGCATATTTAAAACAGAAGCACTAGCCGTTCAGAGTAACACTGAAGCTTGACGTTTTCCTCAGGCAGTCTGCCTTGGTGGCAGAGCTGAGTTGGTGATAATGAAGCCATTCCCTGTTCCTTTCCCCCATCCTTCCGTAACACAAACTTTAGCAATAATCCAGTTTCTGCCTGGGGCATCACTCACTGCTGGTGCGGCAAGAGCTCCTCAGGGATCCCGCCATCCCCAAAGTGTCAGGATCAAGGGCAACCATTTGGGATACGTGGGAGCTGTCCCCAGTCTGGGAGGCATCTTGCTCCAGTGTTCCGACTGTGTGTGTGTGTGTGTGTGTGTGTGTGTGTGTGTGTGTGTGTGAGACACAGTAGGTTTGAAGAAATGGCAATGGTAGTTATCCCACCGTATTTCTGCAAACCTAGTCTGCCCTGCTCTGCACGTGTTCTGCCAGGCGAGGGGTCGGCCCATAATTGCAGAAGCACACAGTGCACAGTTGCTTAATTGAGTGAGACTCGGTTAAAGCCATTGGAGGAAAGAAGCATCCGCTAACTAGACGGAGCGCTCTGCCTCCGGCTGGGGTCCACACCCTCTGCCCCAAGCAGTCAGCTCGGATGTTCTGAGGGAGGCTGAGCTCCCACCAGCAGCACCTTCTCTTTCTGGAGCCCTGCACACTGTCAGCCCACGTGGCCCATGTGCTCATGAGCAGCAAATCGAGCTAGGTGAAAGCCGAGTTCAACGGGAACCAGCAGAATCAGAAAAGGGCCGGCCTGGAATAGGACAGAAGGAAAGGGTAACTTCCATGATCTTGTGGAGGAAGGAGCTCTCCCAGGACCCCGCCATCCCTAAGATGTCAAGGATTCTGCCAAGTGCTGAGTACGTCAGACACTTTATGGTCAGCTGTAAACACAGAATACAACATAGACAAAGATCGACCTATAAAATTCACAAGAAGTAATGTATGTAAAAGACTTTAAAGGCACATTAAGTCAAATTTGGAGGCTTAGATTGAGTCATATTTGAAATACATGAAATTTCAGGCCCTGTTTTCCTCCCTCCATCCCTTCCTTCTTTCTTCATGTGTTTAATCATTTAACAGACAAGGCGCCAAGCCCTGCTCTCCATCAGACTTGAGCTGCCTGTATTGGTTTGCTAGGGCTGCGTAACAAAGTATCACAAATGCGCAGCTTCAACACAGAAATTTATCGTCTTGCATTCTAGAGGTCAGAAGTTGGAAACCAGGTGTTGGAGGGTAGATTCCTTCTGAGGCTGAGGAAGACTCTGTTCTAGGCTTCTGCCCTAGCACCTGGAGATTTGCTGACAATCCTTGGCATTCCTTGTAGAAGCATCACCTGATCTCTGCCTTCAAGTTCACATGGTGTTCTCCCTGTGGGCGTGTCTGTGTCCACATTTCCCCCTCTTTATAAGGATACCAGTCATCCTGGATTAGGCCTACCCTAGTGACCTCATTTCAACTTGATTACTTCTGTAAAGATCCTATTTCCAAACAAAGTCACATTTTGATGTACCAGGGATTAGGACTTCAACCTGTCTTTTTTGGAGAGGACACATTTCAACTCATAACATTCCCCAAGGGCATAAGAGCCCAAATTGGAAACTTCAACCTGTCTTTTTTGGAGAGGACACATTTCAGTTCATAACATTCCCCAAGGGCATAAGAGCCAAAATTGGAAACAGCCCAAGTCTCCATCAACCGATGAGTGGAGAAATAAATGTGGTACATCCATTTGATGGAATACTACTGAGCACTAAAAAGGAATCAACTATTGATATATATACAACATGGATGAATCTCAAAAGCATTTTAATAACCAGTATGGAACTTTCATCTGATCTAGACTAATCTATACTGATGAAAAGCATATCAGTGGTTGCCTGGGGCCAGGGAAGGGCACTCAAGGGAACTTTGAAATGACAGAAATGTTCTGTATTTTGATGTGGCCAGGGTTTTATGGGTGTATAAATCTGTCAAAACATACCAAACTGTATGATTAAAATGGGTACATTTTTACTGAATCTAACTACACATCCATCAATGAAGTTGATTTTAAAATACCATTCTTATTCCACCATTGGTCCTAGGACTGTGGGGTGGGCAGTAGGTGCAGGTAAATGGCTGCTGAATGACCCTGGCTCGGGAGTCCCCAGAGGGACTTTCTTAGGAGCATCAGGAGACAGACAGGTCATCCCCAGCTAACGCCAGTAACCTTCAGAGGCTGCTGTTGACCTTGAGTTAATGTCTTCTCTAATGAGTTCAATGTTGAGTGGAAATAGCACGTTTACTCTAATGTCTTTCGATGGACTGCGCTTCAATGCTATTTAAAGGAGGAAGAAAGGAGCCCTGCAAACTTGACCTTCCATCCACTAGGATGGAGAGGGTTGTTTCCATCTCTTCTTCCTCTTTCACAGCCATTTCCTTGGCGTCTTCCTAGACCACATTTACAGAGTGTTTCCAAATCAAGGACAATGTCTCCAGCTTTACTTTGGCTCACATTACTGGTTCATGCAGAGGCTTTAGTGACACGAAACAGCCAGATTCCTGCCCCCAACCAAGCACTCAAATGCTGGCATCGTGGTGTGAGACAGTGATTATCAACTGGTTTGTGTTTGGGGTACACTTTCTGACTTTGAAGTTGATGGTGGTGCCTTTGAAGAAACTAAAACAAACAAACAAAAAAAACCAAAAAACAATGAAAAATACTAAAAACACTGAAGTCAGTAACAAGTTCAATAGGACAGTGCAGCACACGTCAATCTCAGTGTAGCAGCCTCGGTGCTCAGTGTCTCCCGATGGCTGGTGCAGTTGTCTTGGTAATTTCTCCAGTCATTTTGTGCCCTGTCACTGGGGACACTAACCAAAGCCCCCAAGATGCTTATGAGGTGAAGCTCCGACACGGTCCCGTTATGAGTGGCCATGGCATCCAGTGCCAGCGTAACTTTAGTCTCTTAGACCTTTAACCATAAGAATGGCTCTGACATCCTTAATTGTAGCAAAAACACATTCTACGCAGTGATGAAAATTTGCCAGTGTGAGTATTGGAAATCATTGAAGACCAGGAAAAAGTAAAGATTTGTAACTCAGGAGCTAGGGATTTGCATCTCCAAGTTTTAGCTAGTCTTTTTTTTTTTAAGCAAAAATGCCCTGTAAAAAATTTGGAAAAGACTGAAAAACAACAAGTGAAATAAGAAGCCAATGTTATCCCCCAAACGGAGGTAGCTGTTATAAACTATTTTTGTGTATATGTTTGTAGAGTGTGTTAGTTTCACATAACTGTAATTTATAAAACTGTATATAAGTTGGTATACCTTTATGCCCAGCTCTTTTCACTTAAAATCATATCCTGAGGATTTTTCTATATTATTTTAAGTTCTTTTAAAATATATGAATTCCTACATAATTATCATCTGGATGTTCCAGTGTTTATTTAAGCAGTTCACTTGTTAATGGACCTCTTGATGGTTGTGTGATGGCCCCTGAGTTACTTCACCCCTCTGATCCTCAGCGTCCTCCTTCTGTGAAATTGCAGCAGGAGGAAAGAGGAGGGGATGGCACTGGACATAATCAGAAGATTTACTTTGTGTTTTGAACACAGCCTCTTATTAACCCTCCCCACCCTGCAGACAGCCTTGTTGGAGGGTACTTGGTCCTTCTGTCACAGATAAAGGCCCTGGAGCTCTGGGAGGGGGTGTCGTGCACCGGAGTCCACACAGCTGGAAAGCGGCAGACCCAGGATATGAGCCCCAGGCTGCCTGTCTCTGAAACTTCCATCAGGATGTTTCTGGGCCGTTGGCGTTTGAAGGAGCTCAGTGAAGAGTCTGTGCTTACCCGCCTGAGATGGAAACACAGGGACAGCTGGATGGAGGCTGGTGACAGCCCTACAGCTGCGGGAAGCTGGGTTGGGGACATGGTTTCAGGGGCTGCAGTCACCTGGGATTACGGATCTCACACTCCAGAATGAAGCTGACCTGCCCGGGCACAGGCAGAGTGAAAAACAGCGGAGCCTTCTCTGCCCACTCCCACCCCCGGGCCTCTGCCCTGGGAGTTGCCCCTAGAGCACCCACGACACGACACGACACGGAGGGATGGAGAACACTTGCCTCCCGCCCACTGGAGCCAAAGGTGGGGGAAGGGCTGGGAACCACATACGTTCTGTAGCTTTTCCAGACTCCCAGCAGATAAGCCCACCGTCCCCAACAAGGAAGATTAGGGGAAATGTGAGTGTGTGGACACAGCCAGTGCCCATGATCTGTCACTTATCCTCCCTGCCTTTCCTCCTTTCTCAAAGAGATGTTTCCTCCTGGTTGTGGCAGCGGAGAAAGTAGCCAAAAGTCTCCAGCTGAGAGCCCTTCTTTAGCCATGACCCCAGTGTGGTTCCCAGCACCATGGTCGCCTTTGCTTGCTGCCAAAAGTGGAGTCATAACTGTCTCTCTCTGACCCTGACCTAGGGCTTGGCCATCGAGCACGTGGGACGGAGACCCCTCCTCATTGGCGGCTTTGGGCTGATGACTCTCTTCTTTGGGATCCTCACCATCACACTGATGCTGCAGGTGAGGATACGTGCCTGTCACTCCCCGAGCGAGGTCCGTGTGGGCCTGGCTTCAGCCCCAGTGCTTTTAGGCCTTTGGCCTGGGGAGTCCCCCAAAGAGCCTGGCCCCTTCCTCCTCCCAGGGCTCCCTCCTCAACTGGCTTCTCTTGCTTTTCTGACTCAGGAAGCCCTTCTGACTCTTGGATACCTCCTCCTCCAGGAAGGCTTCCCTCACCCCACATCTGAGGGAGACACCCTCCTCTGTGTTCCCAGGGACCCCAGGGGCAATCCTGCAACCTCACTTATCACACAGCAGTGGCTTTCACTGTTGACACATCTCTCTCCCCGATGGACAGTGAGTCGTGGGGGTGAGGACCATGCCTCTATCATTTCCACATTCCCACCTCCCAGCCCAGTGCATGGTGCCCAGGAGGAACTTGGAACGATCTGCAAATGGATGGCTGGATGGGTGGATGGATGGATGTGTGGGTGGAAGGATGGGTGGATGGATTGACGAACGGATGGGTGGATGGGTGGATGGATAGGTGGATGAATGACCTAGCAGAGAGCCATACAAAAGCCTGCAAGGCTCCTCCCAACCCTAGACCCTCCTGCAGCAGGAGCTGGTGGACTGCACGGAGGGGCCTCCCTCTCCCCCCACCCTCCATTCTGGACGGTTGCCGCTCACCCCTGCCTGTCTCTCTTGTGCCTCCATGCCCTTGCCCACGCAGAACCCTTTCCGGGAACTCCTTTCCTTTCCTTTTCCCCCGGCTGACTTCAGCTCAGCCTTCGAGGTGAGCGCAGACTCCTCCCGCCCTGAGTCTCTGCAGACTGGTTTCAGGTGCCCCCACACCTGTCCCCACACTCATCGTGTCCCAGCGCCAGCGACACCGTGTTCTCATCAACCGTCCGGCCTGCTAGAGCGGCGGCAATTTCCTAAACGTCCTTCCACACCCAGCGTGAAGCCACCCCCACGTGCTAGACAAGTGACAGCCCCTCCAGGCGCATTTAATGACAGGACTTAAGTCATCTTACACCTCGTCAGGACACCGGGTGTAGAAATACAGTGTTTTACATAATAATAGGAATTGACTAAGAGCATTTTTGAAATGTGATACTGCCGTAAAAATGTCTCATATTGCCTGCTTCCATCTAAGCCCTCAATACATGTTAGTGATTCATTTACTGGCCACCTACTGTGCGCCAGGACTGTGCTAACCTCTTCAAAGGCAACATCCCCTTTCACTCCCACATCTGTAGAATCAGCGATGGGGTAGCTTAGGGGTCATCCTTGTCCCAATTTTACAGACGCTGAAACTGGGGCTCAGAGATAGAAAGTGACCTGCCCCAGGTCACACAGCTGGATCGAGGAGGAGCTCCTCCCCTGCCCAACGGCTGCTCCCTCACAGGACCACGCTCCCTAGATCCCCTACCTGAGTATCGTGTGCGTTCTGGCCATCATCGCCTCCTTCTGCAGCGGGCCAGGTAAGGCGTCCCTCCTTCCTCACTGGCTGGCCCAGGGACTCACGGCGCCACCAGGGTGGGGTGTCTCAGTACAGATGACTCCTTGGGGTCCAGGGAGGGGCGAGGGCCACTGAGGATGGAGGGGGAAGAGAGTCCACCTGTTTAAATGCAGTGACTGCCTTCATTTCCATCCCACCAATGGATGGGTAACGGGCTCCCCAAAGATGCACAGACAATAGCGTATGACAGCCCAGCAGCCGGGAGCCGCTGCGAGAGCTGTGAGCTGGATACACTGGTCTGGGGTGAATCAAAGCTACTCGGTCACAGTCTGCGCCCACGGAGAAGCTCCAGCTTAGTGTGGGAGATACAGGGATGAGACGATGACGATGTCCGAGATGCACTGGTCATTGCCTGTGTGCTGTGCTCGTGTGTACACGTGTGTACACGTGTCCTGGTGTGTGCCAAGTGCTTGTTTTGTGCTCACTCCTTTAAGGCTCCTGGTAGCTCAGGAGGAGGCAGAGATGGGCACCTCCTTGCACACAGCGAGGAGTGATGGACTTGTCGACCCCCAGGTCCCTCATCACCCACTTACACCTGTGTAAATGTGGAGTCTTCTGAGCCTCAGTTTACCCAGGACCCATCTTCAGTCCCAGCTCTGCCACTTTCCTAGTAGGAACATCCTCTCCTCTCCTGGGGCCTCAGTCTCCTTATCTGTCAAATGGCCAGGGTGGGTGGGACCGAGGGCCCTGCCCTCCGCTGGCTCTGGGTCTGTGTCCCACCAGGGCCCATCACAGGCCACGGTGGGACCGGGAAGGTGGTTCAGGGAGGTCTGTTGTACAGACCTCTCCGGGAGGGGCTGCCGTGCTGCGTCTCTGCCCTGGTTCCTATGTTGATGAAAACGACACTAAGTTTCTATTAGAACAAATGGAGCTAAATTTCTCTCTCTCCTTTTGTGCTGCTGATTTTCAGGGGCCACCGTGTTTCATGTCCCATCCCTACCTGGGACCACAGAATGTCATAATGAGATGGTGGAATGGGCTGTGGAATGACTGGGGGGAGGCACCAGGCACTCACACGCGTGCGCGCGTGCACATGCACAAACACACACACACACACACACACACACACACTGCACTGCCATGATGAGACGGCTGGAGGAAGGGGAAGGCACCTTCCAGGCGGGGCAGCTAATGGACAGGAGGACGAGCGAGGAGCACACGTTGCAGGTGAAGGAGGTTCACAGAGGGGAGGTGTTCAGCCCCACGCGGCCCCCACGTGCTCCCCCACCATGGGCAGCATTCACAGCGATGCCCCTGGAGCTGGGCGGCCAGTGGCGCTGGGCGAGGCCTGGGGACACTGGGGTGCAGGCCCAGAGGGGCAGTCTCTGTGCTCACAGGGCTTCTAGGCTGAGATGACACCTGCCCAGTGAGACGTCTCCCGACCACTACATCTAAAATACATGGGCACACACACACCACTGGACACAAATACTCACAGACACACAGGTATGCACACCACACTGTGCACCCACATGCTCTACCTGCACACATACTGTCCGTCACATCATCTCGGTTCACTTCCTTCCCAGCATCTTTCCCGGCCTCATCAGCTCACGGTCTGCTCATTTGTTTAACACAGGGATTGACAGACTGTTTTCTGTAAAGGGCACAATAGTAAATATTTTACAGGCCACACAGCCTCAGTCACAACGATGCAGCTCTGCAGTGCAAGAGCAGCCCCAGACAGTGTAGAGGAAGGGTACATGCTGTGTCCCAATAAAACTTTATTCACATGAGCAGGTGGAGGGCCAGATGTGGCCTGTGGGCGGTGGTCCGCAGAGGCCAGGTTTCATGTGTCTCCCCCCGACTAGAATATAAGCCCCACGAAAGGGCCTTGTGTGTGGTTCCTTATCTTATCCTGAGAACCTAGCAAGTATTCCAGAAACATTAAGGAATGGGTGACAGAAGTGAGTAAGGAGCCAGGAAGGAGGGATGCAGGCTTTGGGAGCAGGTGTGACAGTGGTGTTCCCGCTGGCAGAGGCCACAGTTCTGCCATATCCCTGAAGTTCCTCAGGAAGAGGCGGCTGGGTTTCATGATGTCAGTGGAAATATGGAGGAGGCATTAGCCAACTGCATGTACTGAAAGGATTAGCTAAGCTGATACCAAAATTCTTCATTAGAGAAAGAACAGATGTAAGGTTTAATTCTATTCAAATAAATTACACAAGCATTTATTGAGCACCTGCTCTGTGCTAAACTGGGAGTGGGGGAAAAGATAAAATAGAACTAGATTTTTAAACCTCAAAGCCCAAACTGAGAGTATGTACTGTTGTTGGAAACGTCCGACCACTTTCTCATCTCTACAACAAATAGACGGCACACCTGCTATACGGCCCAACAACACCTTAACCACAGACAAAAAGAATGGTCTCGTTGCTTTTAACCCAGCCTTATTAACTTAAAAAGCAGTCCCTAGGTCACTGACTTAGCAAAATGATCCTTAATAATGCATTCTTGAGCAGTGCACTTCAACTGCCTGACGGATGGGGTTGGAATTCTGAGTCATGTTAACATCGGTGTATTGGTCAGCGTAATGCTAGCTGCCTAACAAATAGGTCCCAATGGCCACAGCTCCCACAGTGAAACTCACCCATTCATCCGTGTAACCATCCACAGCCAGTGTCCCTGGTAGGTGGGTGGCTTGGACCCAGGCTCCGTCGGTGCTGTGGCTCTACCAGTCCTGGGGCTACACTGTCCATTGCATCCAGTAGGCAGGAGAGGAAAATGCACGTGGAGGAAGCCTCTTAAGAACCTTGACCCAGAGTAACCCCATCTCTTCCACTCATATTCCAGTGGTGAGAACAAGTCACAGGGCCAGACTTAGAGGCATAGGGCCTTGGAAATGGCGGCCCTGCTGAGCAGCTGCTCACCAGCAAGAGCTTTGTGCTGTGAAAGGTGCATCACAGATAATTCGGGCAGCCAGGAATCTCTGCTGTGAGCATGGCCTGTACCTGAAACACCAGTTCCCCCAAAGTGCCAGTTCTGGCCCAAGACCTAGAAGGACTTGTGGATGCTCATAATGACCAGAGAGCTCAGAAGGGCCCAGGACAGGCGCTGTCACTGCCGGGCTGTTCTAAGAAGGAGGCAGGGCAGGTTACCACAAGTGATTTGGTTAAACCCAGAGACAGTGACTAGGGTCCTCCCTGGCCCCACCCTGCCCTTTGCCCTGCCCTTGCCACACCGGTAATGGTGTTCGGGCATTAACCCTTCTTGGTTGTGCCGGTGCTGGATGCCTTACACATCACCCCTACTCTGCACGTTACTCTTGAAACTAGAATTAACCACCCTCATTGACAAATGAGGAAACTGAAGGCCAGAGAGGTTACAAAGTCCCCAACATAAAACTGCTGGTAAGTGTTGGAGTCAAGATTTGAACCCAGATTCTTTAAAACCCTGTGCTTTTTTACCCATTGCAGAGGATGAGAATTCACATCCATGCACAGCTCTGAATATTTTCAGCACATTTCCTCTGGCCCCTGATCTAGTCTTCACACCAGTTTCTGATAATAACATTTATCGAGCACTTAACATGTACCAGGCCATGTTCTAAGTGCTTTAATTCTTGTAAAAATAACTATATGAACACACCCCAGAGTCCAGTTGTCAAAATAAAATCACAATAAGCAGACACGTTTTCGGAATCAAACTTTACTGATAATTCTCAGGACACCGCTCATGATAAAGCACAGGTGAAGTCTAAAACCATCAGTGCAACTCCCCAGATTCTTCCTTGCACGTTAGAGGGCATTCCAGTCCAAGTTAAACTTACAAGGTCTCTAAATAAAACATGCAGGGAATACACTTATACACAGGAACTATTTTATTCATAAAGCATCTTCATTTCATACTTGGATAATTACACAGCTGACACTGGCATTTTCCAGTGGACTGTCCCCATAGCTACACATTCCATTCTAAATAGATCAGGGATAGCCTACTAAGAAGCATTTTGCACATAAGGACTCTCTCTTATCTTTCTGCCAGAAAATACCATTACAAGGATGGTTTAGCAAGCTTACGAACAGAATGGACCAGGTTATTTTTTCCCCCTTCCCTATCCCAGGTGATTAAAGATGAATTATAGGTAAGCTGTGATAGCTTTCCTTCCCAAACTAATTTTATTCCCATTTTATAAATGAAAAAACCCAAAGAACACATTAAGTAATTTTCCCCAAATCATGCAGCTAAGAGGCAAGGGCTGGATTTGAACCTACACCATCTTAGCCTGCCGTCTTCACTCTGATCTGTGCACATGGTCAAAACTCATCGGCTGTTTGCTAAAAGGTGGTGCAATTAGCCCCTTTTGAATTGACCTGCAAGGCCGACACAGAGAATTGAGGTTAAGAGGGGAAGCTTCTGTCTTTATCTGCTTAGGCTGCGTCTACTCTGGGTCGATGTGAATCAGTCCTGTATGTGTCTACACAGAAAGGTAGAATTCTGCCATTCGTATCTAGTTGTCAGATCTCCAGGGCTGAAGGTCAATTTAGAGCAGTTTGATTTTCATGGTTTCCAGCTGTTCCTGCTTCAGATACTATCTGCACGCCGAGGTCAGGGTGGGTCCTTCTTCTTCATCTCTTAAACTCAGATACTTTCTAAATCATAGCACTCGGTATTGACGCAAAGGCTGAGTTGACATGCGCAGAGCTTCACAATGAACTGGGGCAGAGCAGCACATGGGAACAATTTCAAAGCTGGTGGGGGACATCCAAGATCCTTTGGCAGATGAGGAATTATGCCCGGGAGCTGGGACGAATTAGAACTAAGACATCCCAAGTTCATGACAGAACAGAAAGGTTTTCAGTCCAGTTATTCATTGGACACTTAAGTCTCATCGATGGTTCCCCTGCCAGGAAGTCCTCCAACCATGACTTGATTGCTTCCATTGATGGGGAACTCACTAGCTGACAAAAAGTCCAACATCAGCGAACTAGGGCCTGTAAGCCAATTCTGGCCCATGGCCTT